TTACCTGTGATCGGTCTGTTGCATCTGTGCAATAGAAAATATTATAGTATAATAAAAAATAAAAATAAATAAAATAATAAATTGCAAAAAAAGGCTTATAACGCATACATTTCTGATACTGATGCACACAGATTTAGGAGTGTATGATGAAGTGTTGAGATAACGGTTACAGTGTCGTAATTTTCTGTATACTGTGAAGGACGATGCACCACTGGCGCCGCATTTGATAAGAAGGTCAAAGACGCTATCTGATTACTGTATCATAGATATTTTTCGAAACGGTTCTTGCTGTATCTAGGAAGATTGCTTTCTGATATTTTGCACAGTCTTCTACACAAGATCAGACAGCCTACGCTATTTGCTCTTATATTCGCAGAAATAAGGTCACCTATGTAAATTACAGCTCGCGTTATTCGGAACTGTTGCAGCCAATAGACTTGTTTTAGGTTTATTGTCACCTTTCTCCACCACCATTTTTCTATCACAGTCATCCTATCACATATGTCTAATGCCGTTACGAAATCATTTGTTCCTTGTCTCTGAAATTCTAGCCTATACATTTACATTGACCATTTGATTTATGGTAATTGCTTGATCATCGTAGCCGAATTATGGAAGTTTTATGATAATCATATGATAATTGTTATATCATTGTCATGTGATTATGAACTTTGTCAGAAAAGTTGAACACAGAATTGGCAGTCTTGTCGCCGATTATTCGGATTTTCCAGTTAAAGGTACCTTAGTTTCATCTTGAGCTCATGAAACGCACATTTTCCCTGCAATACTATTCGTTCAGTGTAGGTGCGTATTAACAGTTTACTGCGTCTTTTGCCAAGAATGACCAGAAAGGAGCTGCTTCCTTGTCGTTTCACGCTCTTTTCATATATCCTCGTTATATTCATGACGTTTGTCTTGTTTTCAGTCGATGGAAACGGAAATTTGCAGTTCTCACATGTGGAAAGGGAGGATGGCACCGAAAACCTGATCTATCAGTGTGCCGCGACCAGTCCAGTTCTTCATGGCGAATACCGAGCTGGCGATGAATTCCGGTTGGTAGTTGGACCCAAAAAGGGTTAGTTGTTTCGGCTGCTTGTAACGCTATCGAGTTTTCGTGATCTACATCATCCTATGTTCCAATAGTTTTGCATAACGTTTTAGTGAAATATCATGTCATAACCAAATTAGGTAGCATGCACTCGTATGCATCTTTAATTTTTTTCTCTGTTTCTCTTCTTTCTCATTTTTTGCCTGCTTTCTCTAATTACATTTGTCTTATGGCATTTTAGGACCACCTGCTCCAATGCGAGTGATGTGGGCGTCTCCTGAAAATATGCGTATCGCAGCCGGCGAAGACCTCCGTCTTAGCTGCATATTCAGTGGCAGGTAAGGTCCTTCTGTTTGAAAACAAACAGTAACTACCTTACGTTTCAACTTAGTGAATCATAATCAAGAAATCT